TTGGGCACAAGATCTAAGTGGCTAATGTGTGTAAAGCCCTGAGATTAGGGCCTGTGGTACATTTTCAATACATTACTGATTTTGGTGATAATTATTAGGATTATTACCTTTCTTACTATCCCCTACTCCCTCCACATCTCTTTCAACTACCAAATACAGGTAGTCCTCAGCTTATGAACAAGATAGGTTTGTTCTTAAGTTGAAAAAAATTTTTTGTTTTAAGACAGTGTTTCACTCTGTCATACTGGTAGAGCAGTATGGCATCATATCTCACAGCAACCTCAAACTCTAGGGCTCAAGTGATCCTCTTGTCTCAGCTTTCCTGAGTAGCTGGGGCTATAGGCACCCACCACAACACCTGGCTAGTTTTTCTGTTTTTAGTGGGATGGGACCTTCCTTTTGCTCATGCTGGTCTCAAACTTCTAAACTCAGGCTATCCACCTGCCTCAGCCTCCTAAATTTAGTGGTAGGGTTACAGGTGTGAGAGCCACTGTGCCCAGCCCTTAAGTTGAATTTATATTGAAGTTGGAGCAGGTACATTTACCTGTTACCTGTACTAGCCTTCATAAGTGAGTTGCCTGTCAGTCAGATGTCTGTAACACAGGGCTCTTCTTGAGCCCTGCTCAAATTTAAATTTAGATAAATTTAAAAGTCATTTTGGATGCTTTGTTGGAAATTGGCTAGAGGGTCTTGGACAGAAGTGAGAGATGGAAACTATGCCCTGCTAGTTTTTCTGTATTTAGTAGAGACAGGATCTCACTATATTGCACAGGCTGGTCTTGAACTCCTGAGTTCAAGTAATCCTCCCACCTCGGCCTCCCAGTGTCCTAGGATTATAGGCATGAGCCACTGCACTTGGCTCATCTATTTTTCTTTTGCTGTTAATGTTTTTGCTGTCATATCTAAGAGACCATTCATTGCCTAATCAAAAGTCATGAAGATTTAGTTCTATGTTTTCATGTAATAATTTTATGGTTTTAGCTCTTACATTAAGGATTTTGATCTATTTTTGAGTTAATTCTTATGTATAGTGTGAGGTAGGGCTCCAAATCATTCTTTGGTATGTGGATAAGCATTTGTCCCAGCACCATGGGCCGAAAAGACTGTCCTTTCCCTCTGAATTATTGTAGCACCCTTGTTGAAAATCAGTTGACCATAAATGAAAGTAAGTGTCATTTTCTATAACATTCACTGTCTAAAAGCTGTGAGTCACTATCTCTTAAAACCATTAAATGAAATATATTACATAATATGGAAAAGTCTTTTCCTTCTTTTTAGCAAATACACTTAGTGATTACATTTTTAATGGTAACTTACAGAATGAATATAGATTTAACTTAACTTTTATAGTAACTGGTATGTAAATATTTGCTGAACTTTTCTTATTTCTCTCACAAGGTAATTGGCTGGCTCAGTCCTTTGTCTTTTCATAGTCCCTGTGTCAACAGTCTCTTGTTCTTTTGAGATTTCTTATTACATTGGTAATTGAAATTGTGGCCTCTGCCTTCAGATACTTTTTAAAGATAAGGCTTAATTAAAGAATATGGAGTTAGGAATGTCCTGGTTCCATAATGGTAATATTCTTTCAGTGTGGTATATTCAATGACAGCCCCATCCGGAGCAGAGGGAGTCTGTCTTCTGGTCTGGGATCCACAGCTGTTTAAGTGTTCCTTAGTTTCTGGCCTTCCCTGGAACCTCAGGTTGGCCTTGTACTCCCCTGGTTCTTTCTCACAGAGAGTGGTATTTAGACCCAAATTTGTGCACCAGGTGTGCTCATTGCTTCTGAGCCCTTTCCATTATAACCTTTTCGAAATTGCTACTATCCAGTATCCCTTTTCTTATTACTTTTTTGCAAATTAGTTATCGGTATCTTTCCTCATGAGAATGTGAGCTCCATGCGGGCATGTGCTTGGCTGCCTGAAGCAGCTCCTGGCCTGTGGAATGCATCCTGGAGGTGGTATCAGTGAACAGGAAGCAAGCCAGTGTGTGGGGAGCAGGACTGTGAGTGGCAGGCAGGCACATACATAATGCCACCCACGGTGCCAGGTGTGGTTTCTCCATTTGTCCCTATGGAAAGGGGGAGGCTTATGTCTTGGTAAGTCTGTTCACATGTAAGAGGGAGGGCAATGTGGGGGCAGGAGGCTCTGCTCAGGACACTTGCAGCCTTGGCACATCTTTGGGGTCTTCCTTGGCTCCTACCCACCTGGCCACTCAGCAGTTGTGGGCTTAGGGCCTCTACACCTGCCGCGTCACACACATCTCCCTGGCTCACACTGCCTACTCTTGTCATGCTCTGGTCCTTGCAGAGGCCTTCTGACATGCTCTCTTTCTTGGGAATCTCTTGTCACACTGGGCTTACTTCATTCTGCTTCCCTGGGTAAAAGTATGACTTGTTTACTTGTCTTTGTCTCTGGAAGGGGAGCTCCATGAGGTCAAGGCTCTTATTTGTCCCTTTTTTGCTGTGTGTTCAGCATCTAGCATGGTGCCTGGTACAGAGTTGGCTGTCAGTAAATATTTGTTGAAGGAATGAGTTGTATTTTTGAACATCAGTCCAGAATACATTCTGGTATCAAGGGTAGAAGGCATTGAGTCTGTGCGCCCACCCCATAAACTTTCAGTCTTAAAAGCACCTCTAACTTGTATAAATGTATAAAGTTTTTATCTACTAGCACATATTATGTAGACAGAGGGTGTGCTGCATAATGACATTTGACAGTGACATCAATGATGGACTGTCTGTGTGGCAGTGCACCGGTAAGATTATAATGCAGTGTTTTACTGTGCCTGTTCTATGTTTCAGTTTACTTAGACACCAAGATACTTGCTATACTGTTACAACTGTCTGCAGCATTCAGCACAGTAACATGCTGTGCAGAGTAGGTTTGCAGCCCAGGAGCAATAGCTGTACTGCAAAGCACATCCGGGTGTGCAGCGGGCTTGCCATCTAGGTTTGCACAAGTCCACTCTGACATTTACCCAATGACAAAATTGTCTACCAATGATTCCTCAGGTTAAGTGACCCATGACTATATAAAAATCTGAACTATAGGGAATAAAGCTACTAGGGTGGGCTCAGGATAAAGAAAATGAAATTATAATTGGTCAGAATAAAAGTTGATATTAGTAGGCCTTATAAAAATAAAAATTAAACTATTATAAAACAAAAATCTTCATTTTTAAAGCATTTAACCTTGAAAAAATGAAATAAAACAGCTATAAAAAAATATAGCATTCTGGGAAGCTGAAGCAGGAGGATTGCTTGAGTTCAGGAGTTTGAGACCAGCCTGAGCAGGAGTGAGACCCATCTCTACTAAAAATAGAAAAATTAGCAAGGCATTGTGGCCAGTGCCTGTAGTCTCAGTTACTGAGGGGGCTGAGGCAGGAGGATTGCTTGAACCTAGGAGTTTGAGATTGTAGGGAGCTATGATGACACCATAAAACTCTAGGCTGGGGAACAGAGTGAGACTTTGTCGAAAAAAAGAAAGTCACTATAATCCCAATTCCTAGATAGAAATAAGGTGAAAGGTTTTGTTTATATGTGTATCCTTCAAGACAGTTTTACCTGTGTGTATGTGTGCTTTCTCTAGTATTATTGCTATTTTCGGTATTATTACACAAAATGGGGTAAGGCTATATATACAAAGTAGTCTGTATTTTCCACTTTGTGTCTAATTTTAATTTCTGAGTGGGATTTCACCTTATTGGTTTACCCTGATTTGATCCTTTATTGATGTATGAGTTGTTTCAATAGAGACGAGGTGTAACAAACAGCAGTGTGTGTGTGGGCTGATACCTCTCTAGGAGGTAAAGCACCAGGAGCACCTTTATACTCAGGGAGGCTCACATCATACCTACAGGGATACTGCAAAATACTTTTCTATTTTCAGCTCCTTAGGTTCCATGCAGTGAGGGTACCAGAGGTGGGGAAAGAGGGGTATGGGATAGGTGAGGGAGAGGAACAGCATAGGAGTCGGGAGTAGGGGGTGGGCTCTTCCTGCTTTTGCTGTTGCTCCCTGCAGTAGCAGGCTGGTCAGTTCCTGATTCTTCCATCTTAGAAAATAGCCTTGCTCCCCCTAGTTCTTCCTAAGACCACCTGCCCTGCTGAGAGCCCGAGGCAGTAGCCTCTACCAGGTCTAGGGCTCTCTGCCCTGACTCCTCCAATGTGTGTCCAGGTTCCTGTATCATTTTTCTTGGTTCCTTCATCACAGTCCTGGAAAGGAATTTGTTTTATAATTCATGGACTTGACTTCTCTTCTGTCTTGTGCATGGAGTTCTAGACATTGCTGGACTTGAGAAGATAGACCTCATTAAGGGCATCTGAGATCCTCACACTCTCAGATGAGACATGCTGGGCTCACCTTGGTCCTGTGGGTGGCCAGGTGTCCTGGTGATGGGCCAGATAGTGCCAAGGGCTTCCCAGTTGATGGAGAGTCTGAGTTAGTTCATACTAGTAGAAAATAAAAATAATTCAAAATACTTCATGATTAGGGAATGAACAGATTTCACCTTTGGAAAGTTATGATTCTGTCACTAAAAATGGCATCTCAACAGTATTTCAGATTGTATATGTATATGAAACAACACACTGTACCCCACGATAGTATTAATGTGCACAAACATGATTTAACAATAAAAAAAAAGAATCCTATGTATTCAAAAAATATAAAATAAAAATGGCATCTCTCTTAATTTTAAAAGCTTTGTATTCATATTAAATTAGAAACACAGAAAAAAAATATATATCTACTCTATGCATGATTGCAGGCAGCTGTGTTAAATAAAAACACTCAGAAAAAAGAAAGGAAATATACCCCCATACGCTAAGTTGGTTGTCCACAGGTGATAAAACTAGGGGGTTTGACTTTAACTTTTGTATTTTGCATATTTTCTGCATGACTTTCGTGTTTCTTCTACAGTGGCAAAGGACCTTCTGCCTCTTTGTTTAGGTCTAAAACCTTTTATTTCCTATGAGTTTAACAATTCAGTTTCTCTGTTGTAGGATGGCAAAACAGAAGAGAAAAATTCCCAAAGTGACAGAGAAAAAGAACAAAAAGTTAAAGAAGGCATCAACAGAAGAGACAGCGTTGACACCTGAGGCTTCTCCAGGCCATGAGGAAGCACACCTGGAGGTAAGGCTGGGGCAGGTGCCCATGCGACGGTCGCCTGCCCCTTCCTGGGGTCTGCTCCGTTAACCACCTAACCCAGAGGGAGAGAGGGAGGGCTCCGATTGCTGGTCTCCCTCTTGATGGAGCAGAGGGTGGACACATTGCACATGAACACGCTCAGTACTTCTCAAAGCAACTGTGGGCAAATAAGAATTTCTTTTAGGTTGGAAGACCATTATTACCTTTCTTTAGCAACCAAATATACAGACTGTGTTTTGGATGCTGTGTTTTATGGGAGAATTTAACAGTCTAGATTGGCCCAGTTGAGGCACCCAGGGTAGTGAGGAGCCTGGAACTGGGCATTTGGTGGTGCTTTTGGGAAGGGGCAGGGTGGGGTGGATGGCTTGGCAAATAGTAGGGAGGTTGTCCCTCACATGGACACATGCAGTAGCAAGGCCTGGAAACCTGCTTTAGAAATCTACATCTAGAGGGTAGCACCTGTGGCTCAAAGGAGTCAGGCACCAGCCCCATATGCGGGAGGTGGAGGGTTCAAACCCAGCCCTGGCCAAAAACTGCAACAAGAAAAAAGAAAGAAATCTACATCTAGAAATGTATGTGTATAGCATAACACAAATATTGGGAGTTTGAAAATTACTTGTTGCCATCACTTTTTAAACTATATAGTAGATTATGAATAACATTGTGATTTGTTAAAAAAATAACATGAACAGTCTCTTTTTTGAAGTTATGTATTTTTATTTTTGAAAGTATTTTATTGCTTACCATATAATGCTTATTTGCCATAAAAGGTGTATATACATTTAAATTTAAGAATTAAAAATTTGTTACCCACCCAGTTCTAAGCATTAAAATTTTTCTTCTATATTGAAGAATCATTTTTATAATTTCTGTTATGCAGTGACCAAAACAGTACAATAGTTTACCTATTTGACAAATTGTTCAACATAAAGTAAAATTTGATTAGGTGTGCATCACATAATGATAATGGCATGATCATGTGGCATTAGGTGTAAGTGTTGAATAGCGTTATTCACATAAATAATAAGTGGGAATGGAAGTTTTATGCAGTGGTGTTGCTTAATTCCAAGAACTCTTAAGATCATTATGTGATTTTTTGGCACATACTATCAAAATTTATTTGTAAAGATCTGTCCTTAAATGGCATCTTGATTAGGTATTTCTTCAGTTTTTTTGGAAAGAAGAATTGTAAACCGCCTGACTTATACAAGGATTTGTTGCTGGCTCATTGTATTTGTTCACTTTTATAAGTCACCAAAGTGTCAAGGTTTTTATGCCCCAGGGGGGATATGCCATAGTAAGACACAGAGTGGCTGGTGTCTTGATGAAATAAGGAAGGGGGTGTTGAATACAGAGACCTGGGGGGGGAGCCACTCTAGTCTTTTACTCAGGATGATTTTCAGCATCAATGTGTGTGCAGTCAGAGCTCCAGGCGTGTAGGTCCTAAAACAGCCATGCTGCAGGTTCCTCCTGTCCCTCAGGGCATGTTTCCAGGCTGAGGATTGCTGATGTGGATGGCTTGTATTCCAGCCAACAAGGCAGCTCTGAGCTTTGGGGGACCAAGTGAGAGAATGCACATCTGGCTGGTAGCAGTGCAGGAGCTGTGGGGTATATAGGGGTCGGACAAAGGGTATGAGTGGGGAGTGGGGCAGCCAGACGGGAGCCCAGCTTATCCTGGGCTCGCTTTAGCCAAAGGCTGAGGTTTGGCAGCTGCTCGAGCACTTTGGAGCACTTTGCCTCCTCTGCCCAGGAGATAGTCCATGTTTCACCAGGGTCTTGTTCCCCCTCAGGCCAGCTACCTGGTACTCTTCCTTTGTCCACAACATGTACTCCAGTTGTCTGAGTTCTTTTTGGTTTCTAGGTTCCAGGTGGAAACTAGTTTCCTGAGAGCTCTTTGAGCTTTTGCTCAGTGGTTCAGCCCACTCTGACTTGCAGAGCTCAGTCACGCTTGGCTTTCAGGCTGTTTCCTTGACACATCCCTGCATTTTCTAGGCTCCTCTGGTTTCTTTAAAATGAGCTCCACCTTGTCATGTTGGACATTTTTAGTTTTGTTGTAAAAGTAGCTGGGACTATAGCCACTGGCCATAACACTTTTATTTTTTAGAGACAGGGTTTTGCTCTTGCTGAGGCTGGTCTTGGACTCCTGAGCTCAAGCAATCCACCTGCCTCAGCCTCCTATAGTGCTAGGATTACAGGCATGAGCCACCCCATAGCTTTCCTTTCTTTCTTTTTTTTTTTTTTTGGCCGGGGCTGGGTTTGAATCTGCCACTTCCAATATATGAGGCCAGTGCCCTACTCCTTTGAGCCACAGGCGCCACCCTACCTTTCCTTTCTTAATGAATCATCTTGCCTGACCTCTGTTTGTAGGCTGCTGGTCACTGGTAGGACCCTAAAACAGTGTTGGGTTATGGTAAGTAAATGTGGGCAAAACCTCCTGCCTAAGCTAGATAGTGCTGTAGGTTTGGGTTATGGTAAGTAAATGTGGGCAAAACCTCCTGCCTAAGCTAGATAGTGCTGTAGGTTTGTGTATTCTTTTTGTTTATGTTCAAGTAATCTTTATTTTATTTCATTTTAGAGACAGTCTTACTTTGTAGCCCTTGGTAGAGTGCTATGGTGTCACAGCTCACAGCAACCTCCAGCTCTTGGGCTTAGGCTATTCTCTTGCCTCAGCCTCCTGAGTAGCAGGGACCGCAGGTGCCTGCCACCACGCCCGGCTATTTTTTTGTTGCAGTTTGGCCGGGGCTGAGTTTGAACTCGCCACCCTCGGTATATGGGGCTGGCTCCCTACTCACTGAGCCGCAGGCGCTGCCCCTGTTCAAGTAATTTTTAAAAATACGTGGTTTTTCATTATTAAAATACATGTTTATTAAAAGGAATTTGGGGGAAAAAGAGGAGAGGAGAAAGCATTTTAGTCTAGTCTATCTTCTGATACCTCAATTTTTGTTTGCTTTGTAACATATAATTCTTGGTGAATTCACATGCACTGTTTAGTTTTCCGGCCAGGGTGTGTTGAAGCTTACTTGCAGGCTCCCAGCTGAGCCGGAAGTTGCTGTGGGAGAGGGTTGGGGTCAGCCCAGGAGAGGACTTATGCAGCCCTGCTGGCCAGCAGGGGTCGGTAGCCACACTCCCTCTGAAAGGAGCTGGCTTTTGTTCGATATTCTGGAAAGTGCACATGACCCTGGGGATAGTTTCCAGGCTCCTGGGAGGATTTCAGACTGATCTTTGTGACTCAGTACTGAGACTCAGGGGCTTATGTCTCAAAGCCCCGCCTTTCATTTCTGGGAGCCAGTGTCCCATTGGAAAGAAGGCTCTTCTGGTCTCTGCTAATAAAAGTATTTGTTTGCTCACTATCTGGTTCTCATGGGAAATTATCAAAAAGAGGTGTCAGGCATTTCTTTTTAAAGGAAAAGTATTGGAAGCTGAACCTAAGTATTCAAGAAGGGTAGGTCGACAAAGGCCTAGAGAGCAGTGTTGCCCCTCACCCAGAGGAGCTGTGGAAAAGTACTGCACTTCCTGCCTTCCCCATCCTGCACAGGCTCCTGGGTGGACCTCCAGGATCCACAGTGGACAATGGAGAAGCCTCTTTCCTTACTTGGGCCACTGTGTTGTCTTCCCAGAAATGTCCATCTGGGGAGCCTTCAGGTCACAGCCATTTCTGGGCCTTGTACAGCTGCTTCCCACAGCACAAGCACTCTGTGCTCTGCCAGGGTTGTGGAAGCGTCCCCAAGTGATGGAAACTTCATCGCCCTTGGGGAGTGGTTTCCATAGAGCTCAAGTTCCCACTCAGGCCTGTGGGCTTGGTGCAGGAAGCTGGGGGTTGGGTGTGCTCTATGTCTGGAGTATGTGAAGTCTGGCTGCTCCTTGGCCCTGGGCAGTCAGGACCTCAGGGTTCACTTCCCCTGGCTCTGTTTGGTCCCCTCAGCATCCCACAGCCCCTGAGGCCTGAAATGCTAGAGAAGCTGGCGATTTGTGATGGCCCCAGGCAGGAGGAAGCATGGCTCCTAGTGCCTTTCCAGGGTCTTAGTGACTGGGTGTGTTTAGCTGCTGTTCTTAGAAAGGACCTGCACCTGCTGTTCTCTCTCCCGCAGTCCTGCTGCATAAGAGGTTCTTGGTGCTGGTGGGTTGGAGTTTGTATACTGTTCCTCCTCTGGGTTGATGCTCTAGGGGTCTCAGGAAACCTAGGGTCTGTTTTCTGTTTCATTGCTAGGGTCTGTTTTCTGTTTCATTTGCTGAGCCTGTGATTGAGAGTTCTGTCTCCAGGCTCATGCCTATAATCCTAACATTCTGGGAGGCTGAGGCAGGTAGATTGCTTCAATTCAGGAGTTCAAAACCAGTCCAAGCAAGAGCAAGACCCTGTCGCTAAAAAAATATTAGCTGGGTGTTGTGGAGGGTGCCTGTAGTCCCGACTTACTCAGGAGACTAAGGCAAGAGGATCATTTGAGCCCAAGAGTTTGAGGTTGCTGAAAGCTGTAACACCATGGTGCTCTATGGATGGCTGCAAAAAAAAAAAGAAAAAAAGTTCTGTCTCCAACTTACTTTAACCTTCCCAGGTTAAAGTGTGTTCCTCCTTCGCCGGGTTGTGAGGGTTACAGTTGAGGTGATAATGTGTTGAGGGGCAGCAGGCTGACTCTAGGCCTGCTCATGATCCATCTGGATGGCTCCTTCCCCTCCATCTCACTGAGGAGGACACTCAGCATTTCTGTGTCTGTCTGAGACACTGAGACATGTAAAGGGATGGTAGTGTGTGTGTAACTGTTACTTTCAGAGCCAGTCGGTGCCTGCAGGGGCTTAGAGGGCGCCTCTGATGAACTGGCTGCCTTTCTGCTGCTATCAGTGCCATGTGGCTGCCTGGAAACAGGAGTGGGGTGAGCTGCATGGAAGGTGGGCTCTCAGTCAACTGCAGCTAGCCAAGCTTGTATCATTTCCCTTCATTAATAAGAGTCCCTTATGTTTACAAAGCACTTTCCCTTTTACAAAAGTGTCTCTGCAGCCCCTGAGGTGCCAAGGAGCTGAGGCATGGGTGCTATGCTTGTGATGAGGTGATGAGAGAGGTCACCCAGCCAGCTCTCAATAAGAGTAGAGACTGACCCCCGGGTTTCCCATTTCCGGCTACCTTACAGAGCATATAGCAGAGAAGGGGCCCTCACCCCTTTGTGTAGCAGTCTAGCAGGTATCTCAGCCGTGTGCGTGTCAGCACAATGCAGCACCGTGTAAGGAGTACTCCTAGCGCTATTGGCAGCTGCTGTTACTGTCAGTGCTGGCCGTGCTGATGGAGAAAACCTCAGATGTGTAGACCACACTGTCTGCCCCCTGTTAGGAATGGTGGTCTGGAGAGCACATGACAAGTAATACTTAGAAGGGTAACAGTCACTTTTCCCTTCAGAACTTATGTGCCATCACTAGGCTGAAGTTCCCAAGGGCAACCTTTCTTGTTCCTTGTGTTTCCATGGGTTTTGCTGAAACCTGCCCAGTAGGACAGCTAGGCTGAGGAGGCCGGCACTTTGCACCACCAGTGCTCAGGGCTGTGGGGTGTTGTTTAGATAGATAGGAAGCAAAGCTACTACTCAATTTGGACCATGCTGCCTCAGGGCTCTTTACTTCTCTTTTCATAATCTTGAAAATTAGATGTGAATTTCATGGGCATTAAGCCTATAGCTTTATAAAACCATCAGATGAGGTTGTGAACTTTATGGCCTGGAGAATTGGCCTGGAGAGCCAAAATACTTCATACCAATGGTATTTTGCACAGAAATATTACTGCTCTGGCAGAGGAATTTTTGTCATTGAACTCTTGCTGAGGAGTGATTGTCAGTCTTTATAGACAGCTCTCTGGGAGTCTGGATTGTTTTTCTTAGTAGAATTCCACCCTGCTTCCTACATTGTCTTTATTTTCTACTTAGTGACTACTGAATACTGGGTTGTCAATTGATAGACTCTCAGAGGGATTTACAGATTGATTAGTCATCCTACAGTGGGAGAGCTGAGACCTGCTTGTGTGAGCTGGGTGAGGCCTTATCACCTACCTCAGTCTGCTAACCATGTTACCCCGGTGTTCTTTCATTTTTGTGGCATATAGTCCCTTGCATGAAATTATCACAGATTTGCTCATCCATTTATCAGTTTGTGGATGTTGATTAAGTTGTTCCAGTGTGGGACTATTAGGAATATGCCGTGAACATTTGTATATAAGTCTTTCTATGCTTTCCTTTCTTCTGGGTTTGCTGGATTGGATGATAAGCATATGTTTAACTTTTAAGGAAACTGCCAAGCTGTTTCCTGAAGTGGCTGTACCATTGTGTGTTCCCATCAGCAATGTCTGAGAGTTCCAGCAGCTCTACAGATCTGTTAACACTTGGGATTGTTAGGTTTTGGCTACTCTTGTGGGCGAAGTTGTATCTTACGTTGTGTGTAGTTTTTATTTTTTTTTAATTGTAATTTTTGTATTGGAAAACAAATATACAACTTGGAATGGATTTGAGGCAAATTGTGCCATAAGCAGATTTTCTTTAAGTGGCTAAACAAAGTTTAAAAGCAAGTAACAGTGAAAGAAAATGTTTCTGGTACAGGACCAGCAGTAAAAATAAAATAGCGTATGAGTATCTGGATAATATACCTGTTTTGCAATAGTGCAACCTTTTTTTTTTTTTGAGACAGAGTCTTATAACATCACCCTTGGTAGAGTGATGTGGCGTCACAACTCACAGCAACCTCAAACTCTTAAGCTTAAGTGATTCTCTTGCCTCAGCCTCCCAAGTAAATGGGACTGCAGATGCCCACCGCCATGCCGGGCTATTTTTTGGCTGTAGTTGTCATTGTTGTTTGGCAAGTCCAGGCTGGGTTTGAACCCGCCAGCTCTGGTTTATGTGGCAGGTGCCCTAACTGCTGAGCTAGGCACCAAGCTGCAATAGTGCAACTTTTATTTTAAGTACATATTGTTGACTGTCCATAGTCCATGCAGAGTCACAACTCTACACTTCAACAACAACATGCTGACAGTTCCTAAAAAAACTACTTTTAAGAAAGGCATAACCCAGATGTTCCCTCCTTTGACCAACTCCATCTAAGTTTAGATGTGCAGAAGGGCTTAGATATATCCAGAGTGAGCCACATGCAACATGTTACTTGATCAATTTTCTAAAGTAAGGTTTCAGGACAATGACAGTAAGATAAGGATAAGGGAAGAAAACATGGAGGAATGAAGTCCTAATTACGATATGTGCATTTTTTTTGGCATTAGTGAGAAACATTTTATGGATAAGTTACAAAGAAAATACAAATAAACAATTTTGTACAAGAAATTTAACACATTCTGTACAATATCTTCACTTTGCTGTCATCATTTGTACAAACTCTTCATAGTTTACTTGACCATCACCATCAATATCTGCTTCTCTGATCATTTCATCAACCTCTTCATCTGTTAACTTCTCTCCGAGGTTTGTCAGCACATGGCGAAGCTCTGCTGCGCTGACACAGCCATTGCCATCGTTATCAAACACACAGGATGCTTCTCTAATTTCTTCTTCACTGTCTGTGTCTTTCATTTTTCTTGCCATCATTGTCAGAAATTCAGGGAAGTCAATCGTGCCGTTACCATCAGCATCTACTTCATTAATCATGTCCTGTAACTCTGCTTCTGTGGGATTCTGTCCAAGAGACCTCATTACAGTTCCCAGTTCCTTTTGTTATTATAGTTCCATCACCATCCTCGTCAAATAGTGAAAAAGCTTCTTTGAATTCTGCAGTCTGCTCTTCAGTCAGTTGGTTAGCCATGCTATAAGTGCTACTGGTTTCCAAGACACCGCCGCACAACCACTTTGTGTATAGTTTTTAAAACAGCATTATTGAGGCCTGATTGGCATATTGTAAACTGCACTTATTTAAAATATGTAGTTTCTCATTGTGATTTTAACTACCATTTATGTTTTTGGCCATTCATAAATTATCTTCGATGAAGTACGAATTCTCTCGCACATAGTTATTGGGCTGCTTTCTTATTAGATAGTTTTAGGAGTTATACATGCATATATTCTGTGTACATTTATCTGGTTTTTGTTTTGCAAATTTATTTTCTCCAAGTCTGTAGCTAGAATTTTCATTTTTCAACAATGCCTTTTGAAGAGCAGTTTTTAATTCTGATAAAGTCTAATTTACCAAATTTTCTTATATAGTTTGTATTTTTTGTTAACATGGCATTTTGGCTTATTATGTTCTGGAGATGTTTCCAAGTCAGTGTGTGTGCATCTACCTTATTCTGTTCCACTCTTAGGTATTTTTCATTTTATGGTGGTAATACGGGCTCATTAGCGGTTCTTGCTAACTGTTATTTATCCTGTTCCCAGCATTTATCCGTGAAAACATGTGTGCATGTATGTTGATTTCTATAAATGTCTGGCTATCTCTCTTGGATACGTACTTAGAAAGAAATGGCGGGTAGGAGGGTTGAGATGTAGTGTCTGAAAGCCTCCCAATTTACATGTTCATTTCCTTCTGTTAAAACCAGCATTGAATGTGATCTGTCTATATTTTTGCTAATGTCGTGGGTGAACAGTGGAGTCTTTTTTTTTTGGGGGGGGGACAGAGTCTTACTATGTCACCCTCAGTAGAGTGCTGTAGTGTCACAGCTCACAACAACCTCAAACTCTTGGCCTTAAGAGATTCTCTTGCCTCAACCTCCCAAATAGCTGGGCCTACAGGTGCCCTCCACAATGCCTGGCTATTTTTTGGTTGTAGTTGTCGTTGTCGTTCAGCAGGCCCGGGCCGAGTTTGAACCAACCAACCCCAGTGTACGTGGCCAGCGCCCTAACCACTGAGGTATGGGCGCTGAGCCGAAAATGGATTCTTTTTGATAATTGCAAGGATTTGGAACAATAGTTGGATAAAGATGAAGTGCTGAAACATAGTTTAAAACCAAATATTCATCAAAAAAACTAATGGTGTCTGTCTAGTGATCCAAACTGGTATGATCCACTATAGCTTCATGAAACCTGGTCAGTTGATTACAGCAGATGTCTGCTGCAGCAAGATGGATGACATGATGAGGATGCTTGTGATGAAGCAGCCAGAATTGGTCAGTAGAGACAGACTGATCTCTTGTAGGACGATGCTTGACCACATGTTGCACAAACAATGCTCCTCAAACTATACAAGCTGAAATTGGAAACTTTCTGTTATCCACTATATTCACCAGACCCTGCACCAACTGACTACCATTTCTTCCAGTCTTTGCTAGTTCTTATAAGGAAAAATGTTCCATTTTTCAATATTCAATTCAATATTCCAACAAGCTATGGAAAACACCTTTTGTGATTTCATCACCACTCACTCTCCAGGCTTCTTTTCTGCTGGCATACACAGG